CCCAAAACCCCAAAACCCCAAAACCCCAAAACCCCAAAACCCCAAAACCCCAAGAGGAATCTTCTCATTCTCAATTAGTCAAAATAAAATAGTTTAATAATTCTAACCACATAATATTATATATTAAGGAATAAAAATGAGTTAACCAGTAGCTTATCACAGATCACCCTGCCCAGGTAGAATTTTCGAAGACTTGGGAGTAGGTTTCTCAATTGGAGTAGCAGGAGGTTCAATATTTTACTTCTTCAAAGGTAATATAAAAAAAGTTAAGCTAATTTTATCTCAGGTTTATGGAACGCTCCTAGAAGATAGAGATTCATTTCAGGATTGACCCATGTAAGAAATAGAGCACCATTCCTCGGAGGTATTCATGAATAGTGATTAAAATATGAAATATAGGTAGCTTTGGTATGTGGGGTGGAGTCTTCTCATCTATGGATTGCTTACTTATTTATTACAGATAAAAGGATGATCCATTTAACGCAATTATTGCTGGATTCATCACTGGAGGAGTCCTTGCTATCAGAGGTGGATTGAATGTAGCTTTCAAGAATGCCGTGATTGGAGGAGTCTTTTTGGCTTTGATCGAGGGAGTCTCTACAGTAGTGACATCTATTTCAATGAGAAGATAATATCAGATGATGGAGGAAATGTAAAAATAAGAAATGGAGAGAATATAGAAGCAAATGAGAAGAGGAGGTACCGATCCCTGGGCAGTAGATTACAATGAAACATTAGCCAAGCAAGCCCCTCCTGAGAATGAAGTCCTAATGGACAGAGCAAAATCTTTCAGTTTTTGAAAATAGATTATCGTATAAATAAGTATATACTGCATTGTTTAATTAAATGTCATTATTCATATTCACAAACTTTAAGTCTTGAATTATCTTTAAAAGTTATGTATAGATTTCATTGCAAAGTTATAATGAATGTTATTATTAATTTAAATAAAGCTATTTCAACCCTGAAATTGGCTGCTTATAGCGGACTATATATTCGCCAAGGATGAATACCATGGTGTTTGATCATGCGGATTCTCTAAGTCTTTTGATATCCTCAGTCCCAAACAGGTCTAAGTAAATTAAATCTCTTTTTCCGAAATAATCATAGCCGTGCTTAACAAGATAATTCTAGGTAAGACACTTCTCAAAGTTGACTTTTTCATCTAAGCTCAACTTGCTATCATCTATAGTTGAGATCTCAAGGGTATTCTTGCAGAAAGAAATTGCTTCTCTGAGTTTATTAGCAAGTGTTCTCTCTTCTCTCAAAATTTTGAGATCCTCATGAGATTAAGGTCTTTCTCCCATTTAATTTATATTAATATTTATAATTTCCATTTTAATAAATATTTTAAGATGCTTCGGGGTTTTGGGGTTTTGGGGTTTTGGGG